CTGTCTGATTTGGGTCCATACCACCCAGGAACACTGGAGACCATATCCTGTAATATACTTTATCTGTGTGTCTACTCTGGTACAGAACTTTGTCCTCTGAAGCTTTTCAGTAGAAATGGAATAGCAACTCTCCTTACATCAACAGCAACAGCTGTTTCTTAATGAAGTCACCTGCAAATTAGGAATTTCTTTCTGCCATCCCTGCTACCCTGCTCCATAATCATTTAATTTGCTGGCATGAGACATTTAGATTAAGTTCCTTTTGATGTTTTAAACTGATTTTTTATCTGGAGGGCAAAACATTTTCTTTGCCATAGTTTTTAGATAAAATGTTAATTGGTCAAAGTCTAGTGCAGTTTTCTCTTTACTCACATTTTTCTTCAGTGAATACACATAGGGTATTTAGTGTTTATTGCTAACATTTGCCAAATAATTGTGTGCAAAATATTTGTCTCATTTAAATTTCCTTTTAATTAAATATCCTTTTATTTTTAAAAGGACATCTTTCCTTTTAAAAATAAATAGTCTGATCACTTATGTCATATGCTTTCTTAACAAACTTTTTCCTAGGTCAAAAGAAAGAATGTAATATTTTATTAGAAAACAGTTTCATTATTACAATATTGTTTTATTCAGATCCTCTGGGAGCTGATATCTCTGCATTAATAACTATGCCTATTCCCTGCCTACAGCAGATTTCTTCCACTTTATTCTGAAAGATTGATCATGTATCTTAAGAAATCGTGGGGAAAAAATATTTCTGTACCTACATTTCCTTTTGAGATCAATAAAGTCTATAGCTATAGAAGTAAATGTTTTCTTTTTTATTGTGGACTTAATGTATTCTAAAGAGAGAAAGCAAAAAAAAAATCCTTTAAAATATTTAATTAGATAGATGGTAGATACATATATACATATTATATAGGTAAAGACTAAGTTTATAACCTTATTTTTTATATTTTTTTCATGTTAACTGGGTAAAGAGTTACTTAATTTTTGGTTTAAAAAGTCTTTCATCTTTATGTTTGAAAAGTATATATGATTGTTATTTTATTATGATTATATGTTAACTCTAAAAAATAACCAAAATACATAAACTTGTTGCATTCATTAGATTGGAAGGAGGCAGTGTGAAAGAGGCAAAAATAATACCAGAGAAGGAAAAAGAGGAACTGAGATGGTTAAAAGTCCTGCTTAGAGTAGAATATTCTGGGAACCCAGCCATTACTCAACTATGAACCCCTCATGCGCAGGTTCCCACTGTGTTTCTACCTGAGTCTCTGCCCACTCCTTACAGAGGCTATGAAGAGCTGCCCCCAGGCTTTCTTTACTCTGAGCCTCATTACTGATCATCGTGGAATGAGTACTGGGTTCCCATCACAGATTATTTTCGTTACTTACATTGATTTGGGAGCTGAATTTAGCATAATGTATACATACTGAAATGCTGTCTTGGCATTCTGTTAGGCTGCCTACTACAGAAGAAAAACCAGGTTAGAAGAAACAGTGAAAGTTCTATTCCAGGTCTTCTGTTTGTTAAATAATTGAGCACTTCAGTCCTCAGTGTGGGGCAGATTTCCTTAAGACGTTGATAGTTAATGACCCCTAATGTCTAGCTTATGATTTCTTTGTTGCTGTTATCTCTTTGTGCCTCAGAGCTAGAGAAGTCAACTGTGACTTTTTTCAAAGGAATAAGCATTGCCACATTTCTGAGTCTGCTTTGCCCCGAGGCATCCCATTTTAGTTCTCCTAATTTTTTCCAGCTTCTCTCTTCTGAAGGAGGTAGAAGATTTCAAGTAAGGATAACGTCAGTGGACTGACTTCTGTTGAAAACAAAACCCTCCCAAAATGGTTTTGTGCTTCACAAATACATTTTAAAACCGTTTGAAATGAAACCTTCAGTGTATCTCTTTGAAGCTAGCCCCTAAAACCGGTCCCGGGTTTTACCTGGAGGCATCTTTATTTTTCTGTACCAAGGAAAACATTCCTATTTCTTGCACAGTTAATTTGTAAGACTGTACTTAGGCAATAGTGCCTTTATTCATTCATCTCAAGCTACAAGCTCTTTAGTTCTTTCTGATGATGTCATCATGTCATCATGTGCATTTTTTGGATCTTTCAACTTCCTTTGACATTCATGAGGGAAAATATTACCAGTGGTAGCTTTCAGCCCTAGACTTGTAGTGTCTTTCTGTGGCCCCTGCAATTCCTCTTTTAATAAGCAGACCAAGTGAGCCTGAGAACATCTTATTCAGAGACTAAAAATAAAGTGTGCTAAAATCATAAAAGCAATAGCAAAGGCACATATAGATAGGTTTTAAAGAGACGGCAGAGTAAAGAGAGCCATCATCTGGCTCAGAATATACTAATAGAGAACCCAGGCCAGAAAATAATTGAGGGGTAGTTACATCATGGTGGGGATCCACTGTGATTAAAAGATACATAAAGGTATTTATGTTGTCTTTCATTAGTTTGATCACAAATGATTTTTTAATATTCACTCTGCTCAGAGACTGCATAGCCTTTAAACAAAGTCTCTTAAATTGATGATTTTATTATTCTTTTGGTACTTTCTAATAATAGTGTGTTATATATAACTAATTATATTTTTATTATGTTACTGTCCTGTAGTTATTAAATACTACATATCAGGACTCAGCAAACCTTTTCTTAAAGGGCTGGATAGTAAATATTAAAGGCTTTGGGCACCAAAGCCAAAATCAAGGCTATTATGTTGATACTTATATTACCATTTTAAGATGTAAGCACCTTTCTTAGCTTGTGGGCTGTGGTTTGCCAACCTCTGGTCTTTATGGTCACCTGGTAAGTCTTGCCTGGTAGCTTTTTCCCACACACGCTTACTTCTGTAGTTAGGAATCCTCTGGTATTTGCCTGATATTAAGAGTATAAGCATGAATTTTAAGATGGTTCTTTTCTTAAAAGATCTCGGAGTCTAAGAAGAAAGAAAAATACATAAATATGGTTATTACAAGTGTTGATTATAGTGTAACATGATGAATGCCATCATTGATGTGCAGAGTGAGTATTGGGGAGGGCTCCTCATAGAAGGTAACCTTGTGACAAGCCTCCAAGGTTCACCAGGCGGCAGAGGGAGGGCAGTGTGTTCCAGGAAGGGAGATAATATTTATGCCTTAACCTGAGACGTTTATTTGGAGTTTGTTTTCCCATCTCAGTGGAAGATCTGAGTTTTCAGATAATAGCAGAGACAATATCAGTTCAGCGACTACAAAGAACTTCTACAGAAATCCTGAGGAAAAGCAGAATTGAATTTTATAATTATTATCCAATAATTATATAGCTAAACAGGCATACCATTTAAAGCATTTGATTTCTGCTTCGGAACGCAAGTTATTTTTCTTTAACAGATAATGGTCACCAAATAAATTAGATCTCAAACATATAGATTTAGACACATAAATGATGAGGTTTAGTGGACTAGGATTCTTGAGGACTGTATTCCATACCCAAGTTTGTTACTAACTGTAATTTTGAGTAAAATATGTGGTGGCTACTTAATCATCTTTAATATGACAAGGTTGAAGGATGTGATTTCTAAGGCTCCTTTCAGTTCTAGATAAAATTAGAATGCATATTGATGGATACTTTTTTCCTCTGCAGAAATCTAATTTGGTGTTTCAGTTTTCTTTTATGGCTTTTGAGTTCAGTGCCATGCTTAAAAGGCTTTTCACATTGCAAGATTTTAAATAAATTTATGTGTAAGGTTCAAAAAGAAGCTGATTTGTCTAAATTTATCCAAATTCTGAGCTCTCACTTATTAAAATTCTGATTAAAACTCAAACCCCTGAACTGTAATACTACATCATAAAGTACCATGGGAAAGAAAAAAGAGTAAGGATTTGTGGTGACCCTGTAGTTACCATAGAGTCCCCAAATGCCTTGTAACTAGAGGGACAGTATTGCACAAGCTCTGAAAGCAGACTGGCTGCATTCAAATTCCGATTCTGCCACATGGTAGCTGTGTGACTTTGGGCAAGTTCCTTAGCCTCTCTGTATCTCAGATTTTTCAGTTGCAAAATGGGAATCATATAGGAGGAATCATACAGGACCTGTTCATGGGGTTGTTATGAGGATTAATTCCATTAATAGTTATAAAGGTCTTGGAACTGTGTTTGGCAAAAATAAGCACTCAGAGTATGTCAGTTATTATAAGGATGATTATTATAAATAATCTATTTTAAAATGTGATACTAAATTAAAACCGTGGAAATGTTTTAAAATAAATGTTAATGCCATAGGAAATTCCTCAGATACAATGTTGAACAGAAACACAGGTAAAAAAACTATATATGATATCCTTAAAATTCCCACAGAGTTAGATATGAACAGAAAATACACTGGCAGGAATCACATAGAAGTATTAGTATGTTTGGTAGCTAGTCTGCAAAGATAGCTCCCTAATGAGTCATGCCTCCCGGAAGTCACACTTTTCTGTTTTCTTCTCCTTGAAAATGACCTGGACCTCTATCATCAGTAAAATTCAGCAGAAGTGCTACTGTAAAATTCCTAAGACTAGGTCGTAAGGAGTCTTGCAGCTTTTGCTTGTCTTAAAACACTTGCTCTGAGGGAAACCCACTGCCACTTACAAAGTCCAACTACCCTGAGACCCAAATGCAGTGAGAAAGCTCAAGCTAGCTAAGTGGAGAGATGTTTGTTTCACCAGCTCTCACCGTTCCAGCCCACCCAGCCCAGGTGCCAGACAGTGAGTGAAGAAACCCTTAGATGATTCCATATCCCCAGGCACAACTCCAAGTGAGAAATGCCTGGCTGAGTTCAGTCAACCCTCAGAATCAGGAGATGATAATACACCGTTATTTTAAGCCGTCATGTTTGAGGTGGTTTGTTGTGCAGCAGTAAAAAACCCAATACAATGAATTTTCTGTAGCAAAAGTGTATCATATATAAGAAAAGCAATAATTTAATCTATTTAAATACTTCTTTTTTCCATATAGGTTCAACAGTAAGAGTTGATTATATTTTATGTATTTTTTATATTATATATTTGGTTATTCTTAATTAAGCTACAAATTAATTTTACTAGAACACCCATTCATTAGCCATGCTAAATAAATATAAATTTATTGAACTTAGAATATTTACATGTAAAAAATATAGAGTCCAGGAAGTATATTTATTCCTCAACAAATTGTGTACAAATTCTGTACTACCTATTACAGAGAATTTCCTTTCTCTAAGACATTTTTATAAGATTTTTCTCAACTAGAACAAAGGGAGGGATATTGGAATGTTTGCTTTGTTGTACTATACAAGTCTAGGAGAATCTAAGTCTGTGGTTCTTCATGTCCCTAGCCTCAGGAATCTAATTAAAGGTAGAGAGCCTACACCTGCTGTGATCCCGCAACACACACAACACACTGATGAACAAAATGTTGCAAAGAGTATTGAGGTTTCATTCACGCACCGAGGCCCATGTATGGATTTTAGGATAAGAACCCAGGCTTAGGGCATTATTACTCCTCAAACAATGTTGCAGAGTATTACACATAGACTATCCTATATATTTATGTTTGTTATATCAAAGAAATTATTTCATTATTCTAATGCTATTTCATCAATTCTGTTTCAGATTTTATATTAAAAAGTTAATAACTTTGTCAAAACAATTATCTGAGTTAAAATCTCACCGATTTGAAACTTTAGTATATTCTTTTTTTCCTTTTTCTTTTGTTACCGTGGAGTAACTAACCAGGTGATATTTTATGAAGACATATAGAAGATATGACTGATGTGATACAGATATAGGTGGAAAGTATAGTGAAAAACAGAGTAATGCCTCATTAAAATAGCTGCTTAACTACTGTGTCTATGCAAGGTATAGATGTGGCACAGACCTAGGAGGCTAGAGAGGGCTTTCCTATTTATATAATACACTGTCTGGACATTGAACAAGTAATCCTCTGTGATTATAATCTTTATGTGTGTTCTGAAATGGATTGCTTCTAAGTGAAATATAGCTCTGCATACTTTTGACTTTATTATTAAGAAAAGATATTTATGAAGAAACTGAGGATATTTGAACTAAATTAATTAAGGAAACAGTGCACTCTTATGATAAAATTTGATCTTTAAAATGCATATTCCTTTGAATACCAATCTAGTTTTTTAAGAAAAATCCAAAGTTTTTGAGTTGAGGTTTAAAGGGTAGCAGGGAGGCAGGGGGAACAAACATCCCAGGATAATCATTTTTTACTGCTATATTCACTCCATATTTCAGCAATTGATTATTATTTTCAGTTTCTAAGTGTTTCGTATTTGAACTAGATGAGAAGTGGTAAGTATGTAGAATTTGCTTTAAATACTTGTTAATTTTGGTTTTCTTTAAACTGTTTAAAACATTTATGCTGACATAAGCTCTTCATGTATTTACATTTTGTAAATTTATATGCAATAGAAACCTTTGAGTTATTTTTTGGAGGTGAAGAAAAACAATTTAGAGCCTCTTTACTTTTATTTCAGCTGTTTCTAAAAGGATTTGTAAATATTTTATCTTGAATTGCATAGAGAGAATCATTAAAATTGGAACTTTATTCCAAAGCATCTTGTTTAGGTTATCTATTGCTCCATAGGATACCACTACACAAAACAGTATTATGTCACTTACGGATTCTGGGCTTAGTTGGGTGCTTCTCATGTGGGGTCTCTCCTGTGGTTGCAGTCAGATGTCAGCGGGGACAGTAGTCATCTGAAGGCATGACTGGGCTGGATGTCCAAGGGGCTCACTATATGTCTTGCAGTTGAAGCTTTTAGCTCAGCACTCAGCTGGGGCTGGCAGTTGGAACACCTACAACACAAATTCTTCATGTAACCTATTCCTCACGACATCTCAGGTCGCCTCAGATTGGTTGCACATCTTAACATGGCACATGGCTTCCAACAGATAAGGAGTTGAAGCTGCCAGACCATTTAAGGGCTACACCTGGAACTAACACAGGGTCATTTGCACCACATTCTATTGGTCAAAGCAGTAAAATAACCTGCCCAGATATAAAAGAATGGAACAGTTAACTCCAACTCTAGACATGTGAGGTGGGAGATATTGTTGTGTCCATCTTGGAAACTCAGTCCACCTCACGTCTTTTATGTTTTATGTTCAATAAATTTAACATCTGTTCTATGTGTAGATCACATGTAGGAGAACATGAAAATGCCCCTTCAATTATAATGAGCTACTAAAACCTAATGCTACTTTGAGAAGGGCAGTAACAGGCACAGGATCCTGGCTATTTCACCTCTAGTGATAGGCTCCCTGCGAAAGGATCAGACAGAGTTGTGTCTAAGTAAGTAGAAGGGGTGGAAGGGAATTCCTGTTGGGGATTTTGTGCCAAGCACTATGAGATGGATACTTTAGCCACACTACTTTTTTTGTTTTTTAAGAGATGGGATATCTCTGTGTTGCCTAGGCTAGGCTCAAGTGATCCTCCACCTCAGCTTCCCAAGTAGCTGGGACTATAGGCGCACATCACTGTGCCTGGCTTTCTTCTCCGTCATTTAATGAGATTTTATAGGTGAAGAAATTAAGAATTAAAATTAAAATTTTTAAGTAAATTTCTCAAAAATCCTGATATTGTAAGTGGCAAACCTGGGATTCAAACTTAGGCCATTTGACTCCAAAGTGTGTGTTTTTTCTACTTTACATACAAAAGTATTGCTCTCAAGGCTGAGAAATGAAAGTGAATGTGAAATAGTACAGTGAAAAACATAAAACAGTTCATCATTAAGTCTTTACCCTCACATATATCCTTCTTATAAAGGAAATAATAAATTTTATTTTACTTAAAAGATTTTTACTTAAAATGTTTTTAAACGTAGACACAGACTTGAGCATTTTTATCAGATAACGTTAAATATGCGTAATCTGGTTTTGTACTTCTAGTCAAAATAGCGAGGACCATGTTCTGCTAGTAGAAAAAGACTTTCAAAAAGCTGTCTGGTTTTGTAGGGGTATTCTACTAAAGTAATTCTCAAAGTATGATCCTTGGACTGTCAATTGACCTGAGAAATTGTTAGAAATGCACAATTTCAGGCCCCACCCCAGACCTACTGAATCAGAAACTCTAGGAGTATTTTTGAAAGCATTCTGGATAATTCTAATTTACCTTCATATTGAGACCCACTACTCTGCCGAAAGTCTGTTTTTGAAAGATCATATTCAAAATGCAAAGACATTTTAGAGGAGGAGAAACACTGTGGAAATGGGTGTTCATTGTGGCTAAAGAGTTATCTGGCTGGACATCACCATGCAGGCATAGACTCAAGCAACCCTAAGATTAAAATGGTGCTTCATAGCTGCCTATTTCACAGGTTTGCAAATGTCTGATTGGCCAGGTGTAACTTTCTGGGGCTCCACCAGAGATCTCTAGGGTGGGGCATAGGAATTGTTAACATCATCATTCTCCTCTGGACACACTTTCTTGTGAAAAGTGTCATGCAGAATAGAATCCAGTTATCAAAGTATAGTCTGAGAATGATTAAAAGAGTGGAAATTATTGCTTTCCTGGTTCTGAACATTGTACTGATATTAATGTAGCTCTATAATCTAATCACCTAATTGGATAACACACAGCACAAGAAGATAAGATGCCTAGGGCTATAAAGGAGGACACATGCTTCTTACCCAGCTTTCTGAAGCACAGATATTTTTCCAGAAACATTATATCAAAAGTACATAGTAGTAACTAAATAAATTGCAAAACATGGTCTCTAAACTTGTTATTATACTTTGTCTATACTGTGGAGCCTAAGCTAACTGTAAGCTCTGTATTTTGAAGTTGCTGACAAACAACACCTCCTCCATTGTTATGCCTGTATGGCTGAGCTTTCAACCTGGTAAGATTACATCTCTCCCTATGAAATTTTACCTCACTGAGTCACCTTGTTGACCTTACAGCCTGTCCAGTTGTTATTGTATGTAATTCTGTCATCAGATCCATCTGCTGACCCTCCCAGCTGTCAGCATCCTCATTAAAGGATTTGTTATATTTTGAATAAAACCAGGCAGACCTTCAAAAACCTCTCTCCGCATTTACATTGTCTGTCCAGTAACCGTGTCAGAAAGAGGAAACTAGGTTCTTTTAGAATGATTCATTCCGATATCATAGGAGAAAAAATAAGTTGTGAACTCTGATGCCAACAGGGGAGTTGACTAAGCCAAGTGTAGACAATATGGTATGGTGGGATTGTGGGTAAACTATTAGAATACATATATAATACTGTCCAAGGACATTAACATCCAAAAATTTTAAAATACCGCTGACCCAAAATCATATTTATAGGCTGTATTCAGCCCAGAGTCAGGCAGTTTGATGGCTTTGGAGAGATAAAGGAGTCTGTTTGGCTTGTCTATACTCATTTAAACTGTTCGAATAATTTTTCTTTCAAAGAATTTCATAATATACCCTTTTTCCAGGAATCCTCCTTTCATAGGAGGAATGAAATCCATTATTCTGTATTCACAATACTTAATTAAATCTAGAATACCATGCTTAATTGGTATAGGATAAGAGTAAACATTTTAAAGATCATCAACCACAATAACATTTAAGATAATTGGCAACAGTTATGATTTGTTGATTACCTAATATGTACAAGGCTATGTGTTAGGTAATAAAGACACTACAAAACTCAGAAGTCCCTGCCCTCTGAGAGCCTGTGATTTCCAGCGAAGCAGGCAAAATACACAGAAAATAATAGTAAGAATTCTAGTTTTTATATTTTAGGGCAACAATTCTTAATCCTGGTAACACATTAGGACTACCTGGGAAGCTTTAAAAAAAAAAAAAAACCAATGTTGTGGCCCTACCCCAAACCAATTAAATCAGAATTTTTGGAGTAGGACCAGGATATGCAAATTAAATTACAGAGCTGGAAATCAGATGCTATTAAAATGTAAATTTTATATATTATGTTTTTTTCATATATTCTGTACTTCATTTCCCAGTTTTTATTTGAGAGACTTTCCAAGCATTATATTTAGCATATAGATTTTCAATTTAAACAATCTATTCTAGATTTCTTTAGTTAGTTATAAAATTAGATATAAACCATATATTTTGTTATATAAACAGCAAATGTTTTAATAAATTTTCATTTTATTTTTTGCCACCTATAAATAAACAAAATAAATTTGTCTCTTTTATCCTCCAACAAATATTTCAGTGTCTTTTAGCAAAGAAAAAAGTTTCTTTTTTACAGAAAATTAATTATATCATCTCTACAGCAAGTACATTTAAACAGTTCATCGCTAAACATTTTAGCTGTTCACTAGCATGCGCTTATATAACTTGTAAAGATTATAAATATTTAAATCTCTTCTAAATTATACTATGCAATGGAAACAACAACAGACCTTATCTGGAGGCTGACCATGGAAGTGTTAGCATCCTGGCATCTCTAGTCCCCTCGGACAGCAGCTTGGAAAATTCTGGCCAAAAATCATGCAAACAGTAGTGATACAGTTAGCAAGAAAAAGCTTATTCAGTGATGATAGAAACAGTGATGTGGCACAATTGTCTGTTAAACTGAAAAAAAGGATTTTTAATATTCAGGTTGTACTATATTTTTTTACCACGAGAGGTCCCTAAATCCTCTTTAGTGTATCAGGCCATTTGATGTGCATATCAGACTGTTGCAACACTTTGGTATTATTTCTGTCACTCTACATTAACCAATTTTCTAACATAGGAGGCTGAACTTTTATTCTTTAGAATCAGCTTTTTAAAAGAATTTCCTTTAAATCTCCTCTGGACCTAGAAAATACCAGCATCGAAGGATCTAAGAGTGGTGGAAAAAACAGGAAAATAGGTTACATAAAGTGGCAGTGAAATAGAATTCCTTTAGAGGTTAAGTGAAAACACAGGCTTCTTTGTGAGTTAAGAACAAACAATACCACTCCTTTCCATCTTAGGTCTAAATTCCATTTTGTTCAATCAGTGTTAATTAGTATCATAATTAAACGTGACTTTTCATAGGCTGCCTTAATTGTACATGAATGATATTATTTTTGTCAGTTCAGTTTGGCTCTCTGGTACTAATCAAACTCTTGCCTTGAATGTAGGGAAATATAAATGTTCCTGTGTCTGCTCCTGTACTAATTCAGGTATTCATATGTTGAATACTTGCTCCATGCCAAGCAGAAAGATATATTTCTTGCCTTTAGAAGTTTATAGTTTCTTTGGAGATATAATTTAATAGACAGTTATAATCCATTGTTGTATGTTTAACATAACTCTTATTTGATTTAATACCTTGACTTATTTCAATAAAAAGATGTTTCTATTTGTATAATTATGTCTCCTATTCCTTAAATAATTGGAGGTTACAAGGGGGCAAAAATATTTTCTCCATGGCAGCCAGTGATCTTTTGTAGTAAGAGCAACTCATTATCTACCACTGGGTATGTGTTTGTACAGGGCTTGTCTTTTTTAGTTTGTCCATTTCAGTCTGGCTTATGAACAAACCAAGGACATCTCCATTATGACTTCAGAGAATAATTTTATCTGATTAAATTATTATATTTGTACTCTTTTCAATCAGACATTACTAATTAAAAGATACTAATGAAATTAACCTAGGTAAGAAATTTAAAATATTGTATTTAAATGCATACGTCTTATATTTTTATTCCTTTGGAAATGTTAACAGCAGCTTTTTAATAGTAATTTATATTTTGATCACTAGATGGCACTAAGCATATATAGCTAAGAAAAAATAACTTTCTCTCAAGTTTTCTGAAAACAAGCCTGTTTTCAGCATTACACACGATAAATTTTTTTGTTATGTAACCCATAAAATTCTTCTTGCTACAAAAGCTTTGTTTTACTAAGTGAGATAATCTCACCTCTGACCCCCTTAGGTATAGTAAGTTCCAAGAGAGACACAGCCTCTGAAATTAGCAGTCATCCACTCATCAAACTTTTCTGTTCTTGGCCATTTGCATTCATTATTATCATCTGTTTCTTAAACTGGCCTTTTCTTACTAGTACTTCCTCTTCCCTGGAAAACAGAGAATATATTTTAATTTTTTAAAGGAGTATTATATAGCCTCTGGTATGTTAAAAAGAGATCCTAGAGATTCACACACAAAAGTTCCTGTAGGGCAAAATATAAAAAGAGCAAAAACTTTGTTTTTGTTTTTGGTCTTCTAAATATTCTCATATTGCAACATATTCTTTCTTTTGTTATTTTTGGTCTGGTTATGATATTCATGAAATACATTTTCTGAATCACGATGCTTTAGGTTGCAAATAATAAATATCCTTAATGTTTAAGCTGTTATTAAAATGAGTTATTTTGTACAGCTAGAAGTTGTCCAGAAGTTGAACAGTACTTCCAGTGGTGGTTAGAGTTCGTCAGTGACTTAATCAGAAATCCAATGATGGCCAGGCACAGTGGCTCACGCCTGTGATCACAGCACTTTTAGAGGCCTGAGGTGGGAGGATCACTTGAGCCTAGGAGTTCAAGGCTGCAGTAAGTCATGATTGTGTGTGGGCAACAGAGCGAGACCCTGTCACTCCCCAGCAAAGAGGGAGATGGATGTGGGGAGGCAGACCACAACATTTGCTACCATTTTTGTTTTTATTTGTTCGTTTTGTTGCACTAAAGACTCTTCTTCCTGGCCGGGCACTGGCTCACGCCTGTAATTCCCGCACTTTGGGAGCGCAAGGCAGGCAGATTGTGAGGTCAAGAGATCAAGACCATCCTGGTAAACATGGTGAAACCCCGTCTCTACTAAAAATACAGAAGTTAGCTGGACATGGTGGCGCCTGTAGTCCTAACTACTCAGGAGGCTGAGGCAGGAGAATCGCTTGAACCCGGGAGGCGGAGGTTGCAGTTAGCCAGAGATCACACCACTGCACTACAGCTTGGTGACAGAGTGAGGCTCCGTCTCAAAAAAAAAAAAAAAAAAAAAGACTCTTCTTCCTGATGTGCTGATGTTCTTGAAATATAACTTTCAAGTATTTTAAGTGTATCACACTGGACAGAGTCATAGATGTATCCCATATCTAGCTACTGCAGACTCTATCATTCAGTATAAGCTAATGTTTAAGCTATCTTTTTTATTGTCTATGCATGTGTCCTTTTCGTAACAATTAGAGAAAGTAAAATCTTGGATTATTTTTATCTGCTTATTAGTTCTATCATGCTCTGAGAGCAATATTTCTAAAAGGTGTTATGAATCTAGTAGCATTTCAGCGAAATCTGCAATTGCCTGCTGAGTACCCACAACTTTAAAAGCACTGGGTCAAGCACTATGGGTAAGTCTGGCCAAGACATCTGGAAACACTGCCACCATCTGCCCTGGAGCTCAGCCAGACCCCATGGACACTCTAAAGGGGCAGAGTAAGCAGTCCCACTTCAGTGATGCGAGTCATTCAATGTTCCCTGTCAACTACAGTGCCTTTTGGCCTGTTCTGGCCTATTTTACACCAATTTTTCCATTTGATATCTCAGCACTTCTCACAGGCTATAGAATGGCTCCCCTAGTATAGGTTCCATCTGAAATAGCAAACTGTGACTCTGAGGAACTCATCGCCCTTCTTGGCTATTTATGCCAAAGACATGATCCTGGTGCAATATCTGAATGTTGATTTGTTTCTTATCTGTATTCAGCAAATATTCATTGAATAATTAAAAGAATATTTGTAACCAATTGATATTTCACATGTAAGGTTTTCTCTTACAGCATTTGAAAATGTTGATCATATTGTGTTTCTTTTGTTACCTGTTTTAACAGTTTATCAGTTCTTGTCAAATAGCCAGCGAATATTATCAACTAACATTTTCAAACAATAATATGTTTTCAAGTAAAGAACTATTCTTAAAAAGCAAGTAGTATTGGCATAATTGCTAGGTTGGTCAAACTTTGTTCTTATCCTTTTAGTTTTATCTATAGATTTGAAAGAGATTAACTTGTTAGAGAATACATTTAGTTAAAAAACGTTTAAAAAGAGAAACCTCAATGATATTTTTATTTTTCAGAAAACTGTGGAATATATTTTCCAGAAATAAAAAGAGATCCAGGCAGATATTTACACAGTTGCCCTGAATCTGTGAAAAAGTGGCTTCGACAGCTAAAGAATGCTGGGAAAATTCTTCTATTAATTACCAGTTCTCACAGTGATTACTGTAGACTTCTCTGTGAATATATCCTTGGGTGAGTGATGAGTCATTCGGTTTTCATTGTCTTATGAAATACAGATAGCAAATTAGACCAGGGCTTTTTTAAAAGTGTCAGCCATGACCATATCATTATTTTAAGCAATGCTGAGTGACAAGTTGATTTTTTTTTTCTGATGACATACCTCAATATCTGCTGACAGCAGCCCAACCAAGTACATTTTAGCAAAGCAATGTTACTGGGGACCAGTATGCTCATAGCTCACCGAATGTCCGGGTTTTAGGTTTTCTAGAAGGTGGTAAACAGTATATCCTTCAGTTTTCCATGAATTTGGTTTCTCATCTTTGGATGATGACTGGGGGACACTGAGTTGTAGGTTATACTCCTCCACAGATACCTGGAGTACAGCCACTTTTTAGTCATGTCAGTGTGGAGCCATGTACTTTACTGTTTAACACAGCCAGGATGGGATTGAATTCGTGAAAATGAAGGCAGTATAACTGCATAGACTTTAAAGTAAGACAGACTTGACTTCAAGCCCCACTCTGCAGTTTACTGTAGTAGGTTTTGTAACCTCTTTAAGCTTCAATTTTGTCATCATAAAAATGGTACAGTAATGCCTTGTGGGTATGAGGGGATATTCAAATAGCATAATACAGGTAGAGAATTAGACAGGAATAGTTGATAGACTTCAGTGTGTAAATACTTATTCTTGTGGGCAATACCAGGAAATATCTATGGTCAAAGCAAGATTCCACAGTGAGCTATTAGGTCTCCCCTAATGTTTCCTCAAATTCCATCAAATACCGAATTGCCGTGAGTATGGAGCAAGTTTGAGCCTTAAAACCTACCTTCACTAACTTTTTTAGCATCATGATTTCCATGTTCTTAGCATGTGTGACTTTAGTTTGTTCTATGATATGCTTACAATCTGTGAGTAGAATTTCTGCTTTTTGAATAATATATAGGCTGATATATAATAATGCATTCTTTGGGTGAATTAAGGCCAAAGTCCTGGATGTCTTGGAAGGTGCCGCTCATAGAGATATTTGCTATCCTAGTAGTGGGCCAACTAACTAAATTTAGATGAACAAAAATGAACTTTGAAATGAACAATTGAGATTTTAATTCCTTTTTTATTAGCATAGATAGCTATAGTCTTTCTTCATCTCAATTTCTATTTATTGCTGTTTGATTCATAAAAGTGTTCTGGAGTGTTGCATAAATATTGTTTCCCCCATTGTAATAGTGAGTCCTTCAGGAGAAGGGCTACCTTTCCTTTGCCATCAGAAATAATCCTTAATATAATGATAAGTACAGATTTAAAATCATTAATTATTATCATATAAAAGTTACCACATTATAAGACTACACTGATTGTCAGATAAAGTATCTTCTTCATATTTGAAGCACTCTCTGAAAGATGACCATGACTTGCTATAATGCTGTTTTCTGTGGGACCCATGTAACACACAAAATTGTTAACTCTTCAAGCTAACAAAGCCAGCCAATTGCAGGCCCCCAAATTTGAAGATAGATTTTCCAAATGTTTCCAACCGTTAGAAACTATTGACTTCACTGCCAAAGCCAGCTTGGTACCTAGAGTCTATGTGCTGCTTTCTTTTTTTCCTGATTATGTTTATACTTCAAAGAGTTGTCAGGAAGACTAGTACTCAACCACCTTCTATTTCCAATGGAATGTTCACCTTAAAGTGTGAGAAAAATATAAAGCATATAAAAGTTAATCAAAAGATAAATGATGCTGTTGTAAAATAGATAAGCAAAGATCAAGTTCTGTTTTATATGGACCTATTCTAATTCTTAAAATAAATTTATGAAAAATTGTGTTGCTTTTAGGAATGATTTTACAGACCTTTTTGACGTTGTGATTACAAATGCACTGAAGCCTGGTTTCTTCTCCCACTTACCAAGTCAGAGACCTTTCCGGATGCTCGGTAAGTTACATTTGGTTTCTTTCTTCTGTATACAGTTGACTAACAACCTTGTGCAGAGCACTGTTGTTACATGCAATGCCATGTCTTCTTTCCTCTCATGGGGAAGAAAAAAGATAATAAACCTATGTTTGTATTAAATTTTATGCTCCCACTTTATATCACAATTATTTCTTTGCATGTCAGCCTTTCCCTGACTTTAAAAATGAAGGGCATGAACTTCACCTTAGTTTTTAGGACCTAAATAAATGCCTCGATAAATGTTTGAAAGATGGATTACTTGTGATAAATCAGTTGAGTTATTTTCTAGAACAAAAGCACCTGCGGAACACATGAGGATCATAACAAATGAAACATTCCTGTCTCTGGGGAAAGGGAAGGCCTTCCTGAAAGGGTATTTAGAATTGTCATTCATGTAGAAGAGACTGATAGGGAGAGAGGTGGAATGAAAGGGATTTACAGGTGAAAAAGAATGATAATAGAGTGAGGTACTCATAGTAGGTGCTCTTGAAAGCTTCTTAAATAAATACATAAATGAATAAAAAGCAGAACCTGATCAGTAGTAGAGAAGTTATAGTTTTTGGGGAGTGAAAGACAGTGAGTTTAGTTTTGATATCTGTTGTATCTTTTATTTCTATTTAAGTAGTTTCAAGTAAGCTCAATGATGTATTAACATTTGAGGACCATTCAGAAGTTCTCTTAGGAGAGGACCATCTAAAATAAATCCAGGATGGTTAGAAATTGAAACACAGTTAATGGTTGTAAATGCACATAAATGTATAAAAGATTATTAAGAAATAAAATTTATAGATCTACCTAGAAATCTAGCTGTCTTTTAAAGAGAATGATAAAATTAACATACATACATATTGTATGCATAATATATATAAGCATCTACCATAATATATGATTTATAATTTTACTTTTGATTAATATGCTTGGCATTATATAACAACCTGGGCCAGGTTGTACTGATATTTAATATACATTTCTCTTTACTTTCCCATGGCCACACATTACCCTGTTCTGAAATAAAATTTAAAATTTTTCAGAAAAGTGTTCAGGTGAATTCAGACACATTTAATACATTTATTTAATATGGTAATACAGTATTATTTACTTTGAACTTATTTTTACTATTCAAAAGCCTGATTCAATTCTAGGCATTTGATAGTAGCTCAGTACTCAGTGTTGGGCTTATGAACAGTGAAATCTAAGTGAGGCTCATTGTAGCACATGTCAAGCACCAAGCCTTTTTCTGTGCACCAGACAGATATGTGAACATGTGAGCACATCAGCAAGTGCAAGGGATGCTTATGGATTTTAGTACGTGTCATGAAGGTAATAACCACCTTATGAGGTACAGTATATGGGGCAGGCTTCCTTAGAGTGGCTGGCCAGGGGCGCTCTGTCCAAAAAGGTTAGGTAAGGTGACTTGCAAGGTGAGCCCTGCGGGACAAGTGATGAGAAGAGCAGAGGAAGAGTGTTCCTGGCACTCTTCATTCATTGGATCAAATGAATGCCAGGGCCCAGTAGAAGATTAGTTTTGTCACATTCTAGTAACAAAGAAGAGACCTGCCATTCTGGCACATGGTCATAAGGTGGGAGGGGGGTGAAGTTAGGGAGGCAGGCACCCTCATAAGCAGCGGAAAGGGGTTTGAATTTTATTCCACAAGTAACCTGAAGCTGTTCCGTTGTTTGAGGCAGAAGAATGATATAAGAGACTGCTTTGGCTGCTGGGTGGGGAATGGTTTGGGTGTGGGGAAGGATGGAAAGAGGAAGACCTGGCAACTGCAGTGTCCCTAGTAAGATACTGTGGTGGTTTGGTCCAGAGCGACAGTACTGGAGATGGAGAGAGGTAGATACATTTAAGATACATTATGGAGTTGGAAAACACAGGGCTCCATGATACTTAAAGAAACAGCAGATGAAAAGAAAGGAGTAATAAAAGAATAACTTCCAGGTGGTTGATTTTTCTGTTTCCTGAAATGAGCAAGTGAGTAGATGGTGGTACCATTTACAGACTTGGGGAAAATTACAGAGGATAAAGTTATATGGAGCAGGGGTTACATCTATTAAGAACTCGTTTTTCAACATGTTAATTTTGAGATGCTTATGAGTTATGTAACTGTCATTATCAATTAGGAAATTGTATAAATATGCCTGGAGTCCAAGGGAACAAGTCTAGGCTGAAGATATATATTGGGAGTAATCAGCTCATAGATAGGTATTTGAAGCCAGGGGCTTATGTGAAACCAAATATAGAGAGAATGTAGATAGGCAAAAGGCCTAGACCAAGCCCTGACATTCTCTAATATTAAGGATAGAGAAGAAAGAGTGCAGTGTGGCAGCACATAGATTATAGTATGGAAAATAGTAGAATACGTATGCAGAAGCCAGAGGAAAGAGGAAAGGGTAGCCAGCTAGTCCAAATGCTACAGAAAAAAAACACTGAAATGAGGAAAGAGACATCTTCACTGGGGTGGGCAAGATGGAGATCACTAGTGCCTCAGTGAACAGTTGCCATAGAGTGGTGGGATAGAAACTAAATTGCAGTATCTTGAGTAGTTCATTGGAGGTATGGAACCAGGGCATATGTACAGCTCTTTCTAGAATTTTAGCTCTGAATGCAGTCAAAGAATTGAGGTTTTAGCTGGAAGACAATGTAGCATTAAGGGCATATTTTATTTTTTTAAGATAGAAGATACTGGACTATGCATATGTGGTGATGAGAATGATCTAGTACAGTGGTTTTCAAAGGTGGCAGTTTTGCCCTTCATTGCAAATTTGGCAATGTCTGGAGACATTTTTGGTTGTCACAACTTGGCAGGGGGGTAGAGGCTAGGTGTGCTGCTAAGCAGCCTACAACACACAGGACAGCACCCCCCAACGACAAAGAATTATCTAGCCCCAAATCTCAGTAGTGCCAAGGCTAAGAAACCCTAGTCTAGTAGAAAGAAATAGGTCGGTGTTGTTTTTATATATTGGCTTAAAGTCTTATATAATAAAATCCTTGATATTAAGGAATAATCTGTTATCAAGGATTCTGATAGTATTCTTATAATTAAACCAGAAAAAAAATTAAATGTTTTTCCCCACTTTACAAACTTACATTTAAATATGTAAGTAAGTACCCAATAAAATTTGCTTTTATTTTTATTTTTGTGGGGTTTGCATATTTTGTTCTAAGAAAATCTATACCCCTTGTATACCTATAGTAGTATTTATGCCATTCCGTAAGATTTTTATTAAAATTTCACACAAAGATACAAATAATGTGAAACTGCACATTAAAAATATACCAAGTTTTTTTTAACATATTGGAAATTATAAATGCATTAACTATGTTGATAATTTACAGCATTTTATGTAGTTTTTCTCTATGTAATTGAGAGTATCCTGAGATAAAAGGGTGGAGTGTTTAAAAAATGATTACTTTCGAAGTAACTATCTTAAGACTTCTGTGCAGTATTTTCTGTTAGTTGTACAGTACAACTGGATTTGAGGGCTGACATAATGATGTTGATTCAAACTACATCTTTAAATATTATACTCATCAAAAGACTCGAAAGTCTTTTTGACTGAATTTATGGTATGGAAATATTAGGAATCTAAACTTTAAAAATAAGCACATCCTGATAATAAATATACCATTTTAAAAAATTGTTTTACATTCTGGGTTGTATAAAAACTTAGTTTTTTAATTTCTACTTTCTCTAATTTGTATTTCATTTATTTTTTAATTGACAAGTAAAAATTATATATTTATGTTGTACAACATGGTATTTTGATATATATACACATTGTAGAATGGCTAAATGATACTATTTAAATAAGTATTACCTCACATTATCATTTTTTTGTGTATGGTAAGAACACTTAAAATCTATTCTCTTAGTAAATTTTAAATATACAATGTATTATTTTTAACTCTACGTTATATACAATATATTTCTTGGATTTATAGATTTATTCCTCCTAACTGAAATTTTGTGTCCTTTGACCAACATCTCCCAAAACCCCTACCCCTAGCCTCAGGTAACCACCATTTTACTTTCTGATTCCGTGAGTTTGACTTTCTTACATTCCAAATGTAAGTGAGATCATATGGTATTTGTCTTTCTGTATGTGGCTTATTTTGCTTAACATTGTGTCCTCCAGGTTCATCCATGTTGTCACAATTGACAGGATTTCTTTCTTTTCAAGGTCAAATAGTATTCCATTATGTATATATACGATATTTTCTTTGTCCTTTAATCTACTAATGGACATTTAGGTTGATTTCATATCTTGACTATTGTGAATAATGCTGTAATGAACATGGGAGTGCAGATAGCTCAGCATACCAATTTCATATATTTTGGATATATACTCAGTACTGGGGTTGCTGGATCATATGGTAGTTCTATTTTTAATTATTTTGAGGAACTGCCACACTTTTTTCCATAATGGCTAAACTAATTGACAGTCCCACCAAGAATGTACAAGGATTCCCTTTTCTCCACATGCTCTTTAAAACTTATCTTTTGTCTTTTTGATAATAGCCATTCTAATAAGTATGAGGTGATAGCTCATTGTGGTTTTAATTTGTATTTCCCTGATGATTAGTGACATTGAGCACTTTTTTATATTGCTGCTAGATATTTGTATATCTTTTTGAGAAATGTCTATTCAGGTCCTTTGCTCATTTTTTAAATTGGATTATTTGTTTCCTTACTGTTGAGTTGAGTTCTTTTTATGTTTTGGATATTAACCCCTTATCAGAAGTATGCTTTGCAAATATTTTCTACCATTCTACAGATTGTTTTCACTTTGTTGACTGTTTTCTTTGCGGTTGCATAGCTTTTTAGTATTATGTAATCTCATTTGTCTATTTTTGCTTTTGTTGTCTGTGCATTTGGGGATATAGCCAGAAAGTCTTATAAAAATTTCATTTTAACTAGCAGTCTACTGTGTTTCATTCTCCTCTGTGGTTTTAGAGATGAAAAATCTGGATTGATGAA